CTGCACCGCAGAAGAGTGAAAAATGTGACTGCAGTTTTGATGCCTTGATATGATTTAACTATGCAAATATACAAATAGGTGAGGGGGAAAAATTCTTGGGTTGCATACCTAATCTCTTAGTTTTTGCTCTGTAAATTACTCGTACGTGTGTAGGTACATACACATACACACAGACATGCATGCACATATATATGCAACGTCTTTTCTTTACGTAGAAGTGATGAAACAAAACCCTTTCCTCCAAGTTATACTTGATCAATTGGTGCAAATATAACTTGTTGCTGCTAAGGGAGGATCTTCACTAAGGGCAAACTTTGGATTCACATCTTCCAGGTTTGAAGACTGTATATAGCAAACAAACAGTTTGTTTAGCCTTTCTGAAGACCTTGGAACGTCATCTAGGACACGTGTCCTTCCTCATACTCCACAAATTTGGAGGTTTCTGTATTTTAAACAAACATAGTGATGGGCAGCTTGTTAATTGCAAATTCTTTCCTTTAATTTGGGATCAAAAGATAATAAAAAGCAGCTGGACCTCTTCCTGGAATTCCTATCCTGTTCAGTCAATACCTCTATATCCTGGTTGACCTAGAAATCATAGCTACTGCAATAAAAATGATCGGTTTGGGAATTCAGTCAGAGTAGTTTTTAGTGCTACGTACAGTGTAGGAAGCACTTGCATCTGCAAACATGTTCTTCTTATAGCAAGTGCTATTTGTCTTTTCTGGAAACAGGAAATCAAGGATGAGATGTGAAGCGGCTTGCCCAGGGTCACAAAAGGAATCTCCTGGAGCCGGGACTGAATGAGAGGTTCCAGTTCCCTAGTGTTATCTTCAATTCACTAGGTTTTACCCTTTTAATACACTTGTCCCTTTAAAGGAACCAAAAAACAAGTTGACATACCTTAAAGACCCACATCAGGACAGTAAGGGCTAGAATTAAACATAGAAGCTGTCGTGATTTGGGGTTGTATGTGCATGGTAGCCCAGACGATGGTCTCTACTTGGCGGTGCTTTGCACAGCCTGCAGAGTGGAAGGCCAGCGCAATGTGTCAGTCTGAATAACAGCAGCAAATGTG